AAAATACAAAATAGGGCTGAGGATGTGGCTCAGTGGTCAAGTGCCCCTGAGTTCAATCTTTGGTACCAAAAACTAAATAGATAGATAGATAGATAGATAGATAGATAGATAGATAGATAGATGGATGGATGATAGATAATCTGAAGCATGCACAAATAGCTTTCATAAGGAGGAATGATTTTCATTTGAATGGTGTAGGAATTCTGAAAGGATAAATCAATAATGTTCATCCTAGACTCACGAAGTCCAAATTCATAGTATCCTGAATTTGTAAATCAGGTAATAGAATAAACAGAATACAAAAGAACAGAGGCAGCTTCAGTTTGTCCAAGGAGAGACTAATGTGATTTCAGGCCCTGGGAAATAGTTGAAAACTCAAGATACATCTGGATGGCTCTAGCACAGGGTTCAACTGTCTTTTCAGAGAAATACACAGATTTCTTTATCCTCCTGGATCCAGCTTCTCAGGCCTGATCACTGACCAGAGGACTGGGCAGGGTTTGGGAGTACCTGAGAGATGGTCAACTTTCTCCCAAGTATTGGCCTCTATGATAAACAGAGTAGGCTGAGGGTTTGGAAACTATGAGAAGACTAGTTAGTTCAGTGAATGTACACAGTAGCTGCAAGGTAAGGAGATAAGCACAGTTATTAACAGATGTCTTCAGAAGCTTACATTTCTAGCAAGGACTGGTATAAACTCATAAATAGTTCTTATAAACTCTTCCAGAGGGTCAAAATGCTCATTCTATCACTCTAAACCCCAATGCTCGGTTCAGAATTAATATAGCAGTGAGCCTTGAGCTTCCCTTGAGCTTGGCCATCTCATGGAAGTTCCAGGGGCAGTTACTTCCTTCAAAGGAACCAAGAATCTTTCCAAAGCCAGAAATTCACCTCAGAAACCTGGACACTACAGCTTTCATTCTGCATTTAGGATATAATTATCTGATTTTTCCTGCCAAGGAAAATATTTCTAATAGTAGTATGTATACATTTGAGACTTACTATACATATATCTAAATGTTTAATCAGAATAATTGTCTCAATTTTACACTTGGAAAAAATATCCATTTCTAACTCCCCTTTGCAGTTTTTGCCATTCAATAGTTAGAGGGAAACTTTTGTTTCAATTTTAAAATGAATAGTCAATCTAAATCTTGAATATTTTTCTTTTAATTGTGTGTGTGTGTGTGTGTGTGTGACAGAGAGAGAGACAGAGACAGAGACAGAGACAGAGACAGAGACAGAGAAATAGGGAGGGAGGGAGAGTTGTGCTTGGCTGCATTTCTATTTAAATGTTTTTTCTTATTGATTTGTATGACAATTGCTAATATTTTCCTAGCTTTTCACATGTTAACTTCATTTAGTGATATTTTACCCATACAGAGTAATCTTTTTTGCACTATTTCTGCCTTCATTACCATGGTTAGGAAAGACTTTCTATGCCAAGATTATAAAACTAATAATCCATCTGTACTTCTGAGCCTTTTATGTCTACAATCTACATTTAATCCATCTGGAGGTTATCTTGGTGTTAGCATAAAATGACCAAGCCGGGTGCAAACTTCACAGATCAGCACAGCTTTTATTCAGCAATGAAATCATACATGTGATGGACCCACTTTCCTAGTGGGAAATGAGCTGCTGGCCAAAGGGGAAGTCTGGCTTATATGGTTACACTGGGAGATGACTTAATTATTGACAGAGCATGTCAGTTTGAGCACTCAGGAAAGAGATTTGTTTTTTACTGGGCAATGTTGTGAGAACTTGAGATTTGTTTTTACTGGGCAATATTTTGACTTGGAGAAAATGGAGGGTCTGGGGTCAGTGGTCAGTATTTATCTCTTTCCCTCCAGGGTCCCATTGCACTGTCACTGGGAAAGGATTTATTTTGGGAAGGATCAATGCTTTGGCCTCCTCCCAGAGGCTGTCATTCTAGGCTTGATGGATATCTCCTCCCCAGGGATTGCCTTGCCACTGGGAAAGAACATATTAGGAAATGATCAATGTAATCAGTGTTACCTTCTTCCTCACTCCCTCTTCCCAGGCCACACTATTTTGTGGTTTGTCATTTTCCATATCTTTTATTGGTATAGTGATTAAGTAAACATTTAACTTTACTTTTCCCCGCAAATGGCTGGCCTTCTGTCATACCACCATTTATTGCATTATTTTTCCTTCCCCTAACATTTTGAAATGGCTGTGAAGTTTGAGGAATAATTTTGTGACAAGCTTTCAACCCTACACTGCTGATGGGCTTTTCCTTTACCCCTCACTGAACACCCTCCTTCCTGCTAATTGCCTTCAAATGTGGGTTGTGACTGAGGACCTGGTCCCATTTAGGAACTTGGCAAAGACTGGTGTCTATCTAGGGAGAGCTGGGTCTCATCTGAATCTCATCAACTCCAGTCCTAACCACTCTTTTCCCCACTTTCCATTCAATGTATCCACTTTCCTGAGACCACTTAAGGAAATTTTTGTAGATTTAGGAGAGAAACATGAATATAATTCCACTTCATAACCACCTTTTCCCACCAAATACTTGGCATCTACCTTGATGGCAATATCTGAAACCTGTCCTACTCCTACAGTTGGTCTTGGCTTCAATGGGATCAATATACCTGGAGTGACTTCAAGATACTTGGTGCTGGAGTGGGGTTGTGGCTCAGTGGTAGAGTGCTGATCTAGCATGTGTGAGGCCCTGGGTTCAATCCTCAGCACCACATGTAAAAAAATAAGTTTAAAAAAAGATGTAGTGTCCAACTACAATTAAAAAATAAACATTTAAAAAACAAAAGATACTTGGTGCTATTTATCAGCAGGGGAAACATTCCTAGCCCCCCTGAGGGAGGGCACATGAATCCTCACCCACACAGAGCTCTGGGGAATGGAGAACAATTACACAGGACTATCTCAACAGACACAAAGACTGGGCTTTGGAGAATAGTAATGTCTGTTTGTGGCTGCTCCAGAAATAACAGAAAGAGAGGTGATTGTGAAGGAGGCAATCCAGGAATCTTTGCAGTGCTGTTGAGGTGCCCTCCAGGAATGGTGAGCTTCTGGGCAGCAGCAGCTTGGACTTGGATTCTGACCAAAGTTTGAGGAAGGTGGTGTGTTTCTGTTCTGTCTACAATGTCAGTACTCTCTTGAAAAAGCAGAGAGGATGTCTTGCTCCCATTTGTGTTTCCAGCACTTAGCACAGCACCTGACACTTAAAACGGACTCAACTCAAATGTTGAATGAAATGATTCATTAGCAATATTAATAACATTTAGGAATCAGCATTATTTCCATAACACAAAAGCATATTTGTGAAATTAAATATTTCTTTTGTCTAATTGATATGTGGCTTTGGAGTAGAGAACAAGCTCACAGTAACAGGAAGAGTTCCTATGAAGCC